GAGAAAATATATTTGCAAGCAACGCCTCTGATAAGGGCCTAATATCCAAAATATACAAAGAACTCATACAACTCAATAACAACAAAAAACAAATGGTCCAATCAAAAAATGGGCAGAGGACCTGAATAGATACTTCTCCCCAGAGGACATTCAAATGGCCAACAAATATATGAAAAGATGCTCAACATTGCTAGCTAGTAGGGAAATGCAAATCAAAACCACAATGAGATTCCATCTCACACCTGTTAGAATAGCTATAATCAATAGGACAAGTAATAACAAATGCTGGAGAGGATGTAGAGAAAAAGGAACCCTCATACACTGCTGGTGGGACTGCAAATTGGTACAGTCATTATGGAAAACAGTATAGAGGTTCCTCAAAAAACTAAGAATTGATCTACCATATGATCCAGCAATCCCTCTACTGGGTATTTACCACAATCACTTGAACACACATATCCAAAAAAATATTTGCACACCAATGTTCATAGCAGCATTATTTACAATGACCAGGACATGGAAGCAACCAAAGTGTCCTACGATAGATGATTGGCAAAAGAAGCTGTGGTACATATATACAATGGAATATTACTCAGCCATAAGGAGAGATGAAATACTGCCATATGCTACATGGATGGACCTTGTGATAATCATGCTAAGTGAAATAAGCCAGACAGAAAAAGTTGAAAGTCACATGATATCACTTATATGTGGGATATACACCTAAAAGCAACAAATGAATAGAACAAACAAACAGAGACTCATGGACATGGACTATAGTCTGGTGGTAACCAGAAGACTATAATGTAGTGGTTACTAGTGGGATGGGGGAGGAGGAGGGAAGTAGACGGGGTCAAGGGGGTCAAATATTGGAGATTAAGGAGAGGGAAAAGTGGGCAAAGGGGATCAAATATATGGTAGTTGACGGAAACTGGATTTTGGGTGATCAACACACAGTAGAATATACAGATGTCAAATGATAATGTACACCCGAATATTATATAAATATATTAAACCAAAGTTACCCCAATAAACTTAATAATAAAAAAAGGATTTTAATGGATATTTGTGAATGCTCCACAGATACCTCAAACTCAGTATGTTCAAAGTAGGCTCCAGTATTCCTTTGTGCAAACGGTGCTCTTTTTTTGTCACCATCTCATTGAGTGACACACCATCAACTTGATTTTGCAAGCCAGAAACCAAAGCATCAACTATGAAACCACTTTCTGTTCACCAATCCACAATAAATTATTAAGGTATAGTTATATGGTCTAAATATCATTCATATCTATTATTATATTTCCATTTCCACAACCATTACTCTAAGAGAGGCCACTTCAATTTTCAATTGTACTTTTGCAGTTATTTCTACACTCGTTTCTTGAAGACTTAAAATGCCACGAAGAAATCTTAATGGTATAATATGTATGAAAAAAATGTACAAAGAAACATGTATATGCAATAAGATTATATCTTAATAGCATGGAAGAAATTAAGGAGAAAAATCTTTGTAATAGAGAGATTACAAATATTTTTATTTCAAAATCTTTTCGATGGACTTGCATTAAGTCACTAATAGGAAAAAGGAATATAATGGGGGGAAGGCTCAGCATCAGTTTCAGCATCATTGTTATTTACCTCACCTCTTGGAATGAGAAAAGTCCAATTTAAAAGTATCATACATTTTGATATGAAAATCACTACTTAAAAGTTAAAAAAATGGGCATGCTTCTAAAGTTTTAGATAAAGGTGAGTCTGAAAGAAATAAAAATATTGATGAACTCAGGGTAACACAATTTTCATATGGCAACATCATTGCAAAAATATAAATGCAAAGACACGTATTGTCATGTCCACAATAGCTGTGATTATTCTCCAGCAAACTTTCAGAAATATTTTCTGGAATGTGTATTAGCAAAATTTAGCTCTATCACTTGTCTTGCATTAGAAGACAACTAAGTTCCTCAATGCTCAAATCTTCATAAAAGAATAAAAATGATAGGAAACATTCAAACTTTAAATTATTGTCCACATGGGAACTAACATTATTATTTTGACCTTAAAACATTTTTACTGATAAAATTCAAAGGGTTTCACTATATTTTCAAAAAAAAAAACAAACAAAAAAACTTTTTTATCCTGCTTCGTATCTGCTTGGTCTTTACACTGCAGATGATTGAATTCATCAGGAGTGGAAAGAGAATGTAAATATTGCCCATAAGGACATGAACCAAAGGTGACAGATGTTTCCCAAAGCGATGGACCATGGTGAGACCAATAATGGGAATATAAAAAACCAGGACAGCACAAATGTAGGACACACAGCTCTGCAAAGACTTGAGCCTCTCTTCTCAAGATGCAATTGCCAGCACTGTATGTAAAATAAAAATGTAGGAGATGATAATAAGTGTGGCATCCAACAGCAAGGTACAAATCACCAGAGCCAGGGCATAGAAGCTGTTGAAGCAAATGTCAGAGCAGGCCAGCCGGAGTAGGTCCTGGTGCAAGCAGAAAGAGTGAGAGAGGATGTGGGGGTGGCAATAATGAAAGAACTTCAAACGAATGATGACAGGGAGGATAGACATAGCACTTCTCACCGCAATGATCACCATGAAATGAATGATTCTATTATTAGTCAGGATGGATGTGTATCTCAGAGGACTGTGGATTTCGGTAAAGCGATCAATGGCCATGGCGTGAAGGACTCCAGACTCTGTGCAGGGGAGACCATGGACAAAATAAGTCTGCGCAATGCAAGCATCCAGCTTGACTTCCTGGCTGAGCCCCCACAGGATCTCCAGCATTGTGTGAACCGTGGACAGCCCCATGCACAGGTCGGTGAGGGCCAGCATGGCCAGGAAATAGAACATAGGCTGGAGCAGGCTTGGCTCAGTCCGGATCACGTGCAGCACCAGGCAGTTTCCCAGGAAAATCGTAGCATAGATGGAGGAGAAGGGAATTGAAAACCAGTTAGTACTGGTATAAGCCAAGGAACCCCCTGAGAATGAATATTGAGGAATTGATGATAGAAGCAGACATGAATATTTGAAGGTAATTGCAAGATAAGGTGAATATGTATTCACAGTTTTGTGTAAACTCTTGTCTTTGAGAATAGTCAAGTATAACACAGCCGTCTGAAGTGTAGCACAGGTAAAACTAACTGTAGATTTCCAGGGCACCTGAAGTCTGCAGGAGAAGCTATAGCACAAGATGATTCATAGGGAAATGCCTTGGAAATAGGAGGTTATAGAAGCAAATCAATGTCCTGACCATTTTAGGCAAATTAGATCATAATCTTATTCACTTTTAGTCTCTGAGCCACTGTCATCACACACAACAGGTGAGAGTTGCTAAAGTTATTGAGAACATAGGATTGCTGCTATGCTGCTGCTCCTGAGCGAGCCTGGGAACTCAGTCTCCTCCATTACCAGTCCTTAAGGTGCAGAGAGTCAGAATGTTCAGATTTATGAGGAAGAAATGAAGACGTTTCTGAGCCAGGTGAACCCAGGCTCCTGGGAGACTGCCATTCCCTGGGTAGATGATGCAACTGAAAGATTCTGCTGGGAATGTTTTTGCAGTGATGATATAAAACTTGCCTATTAGACCAGGCATGAGGCCCTAACATCAGGAAAGTGTGATTCTAAAAGTCACAATCTGTCTTCTACCCTCTATATCTAAAATATCTACATGTACAACATATATAGTTACATCATTAAACTAAATTATATAAATAACATTTATCCCAATGGCAAGTAATTTTATGGTGGCTCATTCATAAATTCAATCACTCATTTATTCATAAACTCTGTATACAATACCAGTATCAAAGCAATAATCAGAGTTTATAATTTCTCTGTTTTCTTGGAGCTAACACACAAATACCAAATATATTATAAAATAAATAAATAAATACATATAAGTATTCTAACATTGAAAACAATGTAATAAGAACAAAATTTTTAAAGACATAATAATATAGTTAAATGCCAAAATTAGATTATTATATATCTAATTCGAGGAAGACCATAAATAAGATTTGAATGAAAAGGCTTGAGAAATTATCTGGGGGATTCAAAATACTACAATTCAGAATAGATATATTTTTACCACTACCACTAGAACTATATTGAAAATATTTGACCAATTTCCCACTTCTTTTTGTGTCTGTTACTGGGCCTCTTTTGTGTGAATAATCTCTCCTTCCTCTACAATTTCTTCTATAGTTCAATGTCATCTCATTTTCTCATTGTTCCCTAAATTTTATATTCCCTAGAGATACATTCTTGTCACTTACTGTCTTTTTTTTCTTTTTTTTTTTTTTAACTCTCCAGAACCAAGTTAAGGGCCTACAACATATTTCTCAGTAAATGAACTGAAATGTTGAACTATAGAATTTGTATGGGTCTTAATGCTAAATCATGATAACTAGATATCCAACAATCAAATTAATTTAAGAATATCAATTTATCATGTAATTTTATTTCACAAAACCCTTCAAAAGTTTAAATTTTGTACTTTGATAATGTTTAATCACTTTACTCTGGCCTACAAACTCAGCAATTCTACCACCTCCCCAGTGTTCATCTCTCTCCATTTTATTTATATCCTTTCACCCTCAACTCTAGCCATTTTAAATATTAGTATGTTTCTTTAGTTCCTAAAGCTGTTATTAGACCAAGCCCTTATTATTCTTTTCTCGTTTGTCATGTATCACTATTACGTTTGGACAAAACTAAAACCTTCAACATCTTTATTCAAGATAGGCAACTCATTTTATTTAGTTGATCTTTTATAGCCCATTTTAACCTATATGCCACAATGTTTAGGAGGTTGGGCATATCTGTCTTGGATGCCCATCTTGTTTCACTCTGTATCTCCAGAATTAACCATAGTAACTATCAAATAATTGTCGAAGGAATAAATGAATAGTTCTCTAGAATTCATTCAGCACAGATGAAAACGTCCCTCCTTATAACTTTAACTCTACGTAGTTTTCAAAATTTGTTGTCTAGAATGAATTATTAATGATTGACTCTTGAATATAAAAGAAGCAGGACACATGGAGAAATATAAGGTAGAACTGCTATGATTTAGAAAAGAAAGTCTGGTAGAAATAGAGGTGGAAATAGGCACATTAAAAAAATAAATAGAATGATTGGTTATTGATTTGGCAGTGTCAGAACGATTAACTATTATTGAATGAAAAGGTTGCTACTTTGAAGTATTAAGTATACTTATATTATTTAGTGCTAATATCTTCTGTAATATGCTATACAAATATATGACTTTGAGTTTATTCCTCTCTTGAATAAGAGTCACCAAGTAAGGAAAAAATATACACATTTCACTCTCATAATAATTATTTCACTTGCTTTTGAGTACTGTGTTACATTCAAGATGGATAAGTTTTTAGATGTTTGGCTTCCAATGGTAAATTAACCATTGGAATTTAATGGTAAATTAACATAATTTTTTTTTTTCATTCTGATGAGTTTTCCTTACTTGGTGACTCTGGACAATGATTAAAGATTTAAATACCAGAATAATTGTCCTACCATTTTTTCAAAAATTTTTTATTTGATATAGTTGGTATACAATATTATATTGGTTATATTAGTTTCAGGTATACGATATAGTGATTTGATATTTTTATACCTTACAATGTGATGACCCCACTAATTCCAATAATCATATCACCATGTAAACATCACAATATTGCTGACTATATTCCTCTTTCTTTCACTCATAATTTTTCTTTAGTATAAAAACAGCAAAATCTTTGGATACTCTGCATGACAATCAAGAACATTTAAAGATAAGATATTTATACTTTTATATCTTATATTCCCTCTCTTCAGGAACATTTTAAATTTGCTACAAATTTTCCCTGCAAATCTTAATAAATGATTATTTTTTCATTCATTTAGTAAATACTTCTTGTGAACCATTTCTGTACAAAATGTAATACTATACTCAGGTGATTTCTGTCAACACAGAGATGACATTTACTGGGAATGTAAATATTCCAAATGTCTTATCTCTGACTTAACAGACCTACAATGCCAGCCTCCTCTTACCCTTCCAAGAATAATAGTCTAAGTTTCAGATTTTCTGAAACTGTTGTTCATTCCCCTAAGCAATTTTACCTAATTCTGAAAACTTGAATCATAATAATAGACTCATATGTGAATATCGAAGATGATGAAGTTCATTTTCCAAACAGAGGCAGCAACTTAATTCTCTTTTGATCTCTAGACCATAGCAGAGTTCAGAATGTAAGGTAAATATTCAATAAGTATGTTTTTATGAAAGACATAGATAAATAAGTGTATTATATCTAACCATTAGAGAGTGAAGTTACTGAGACTGAAGATGAAGTCTTCATTTTCACTGGTTCTCTGTATAATCTGCCAAGTACAAAATTATTGATTAAGCTACAACTATGTCTAAACATCCCCTGCCTTTGCTTTAATCTAGCAAAGATTTTAATTACACTTGGTCCCTATTGTTACTTCTATTCCACCAGAAGAGATGCAGCATCCTCATTCGAATCTGCTTAGTTTTGATAGTGTAGACAACCAGGTTCGGCAGTGGAGGTGTGAGACAGTGCAGATAAGAGAGCAACAGATGTCTTGAAGGAAAAGCCTGCTTCCCAAATCTGTGGATCATAGACAGGCCAATCATAGGTGTATAGAAAAGTAGCACAGCACAGATGTGAGAGACACAAGTGTTGAGGGCTTTGAGGCGCTCAGCCTTGGAGGCAATGGACAGCACTGTGTGGAGGATCAGCCCGTAAGAGAGGACAATGAGCACTGCATCCACACCCAGCGTGCAGTGCACTACAAAGAGAACATAGGCACTGTTGATGTGGGTGTTGGCACAGGCCAGCTTCATGACATCTGGATGCAGGCAGTAAGAGTGGGAAAGTTCTTCTATAAGTAATATGTTAAAGGCTCTAATGAAAAGAGTAAATGTGAAAAAATAAACTAATGAGTATTATAAGCAGAGAGCCATAAACTCTAAGAATCAAAAGGATGTGTTAGAAATGAAAAACCACTGCAATAAAAATGAAGAATGCCTTTGATGAGCTCATCAATAGAGTCAAAAAAGCACAATAAAGAATAAATCAACTTGAAAGTCAGTCAACAGAAATTTCCCAAACTGAAGTGCAAAGAGGAAGAAAAAAGAATTAAAAACACAGAACAGAACATCCAAGAACTATGGAACAGTATGAAAGTGTATAATATATATGTAATTTGATTATCAGAAGAGGAAAAAGAGAACAAACCAAAAAAAAAATATGAAACAATAATGTATGAGAACTTTCCATAATTAATGACTAAAACCAAACCACAGATCCAGGAATCTGTTTCAACACCAAGAAGAAATAACAGCAAAATAAATATATCCAGTCAAATTTTATTCAACTGAAGAAACTGAAGGCAAAGAAAATCTTGAAAGAATCCATTGTTGTGGAGGGAACACTTACCAACATAGGAACTAAGATAAGAATTACAGCAAAATTCTCCTCAGACATAATGTAAGCAAGAGGAAAGTAGAATGAAATATTTTAAATATTTAAAGAAAAAAGTCACTAACCTAGAATTTCATATCCAGTGAAAATATTCTCCATATCTTAAGGAGAAATGCAGGTGCAGATTTTATCAAACCATAGAGAAAGAAAAAAAAAAAGAAAGCAATTCATGCACACATGCAAGCTAGCCAACCTGCCCACAACGAAATATTAAAAGAAGTCCTTCCGACAGAAGGAGCATTATTTGTCAGAAACGTGGTTCTCCATTATAAAAGGAAGAGTGTCAAAGAAGAAATAAAAAGAGATAAAATAAAGTCTTATTTTTTTAAATCTTAACTGATCTAAAAAAACCTTTTTACTTAAAGCAATAAAAGGAACAATGTTTTGTGTGATTGTAGCTTATGAATAAGTGAAACACAAATCACAATATTACAAAAGATATTAGGGGGAATCAAGAATACTTTTTTTTTATATCAGATCCCTGCATTACATGTGAGTAATATAGAGATAGAGATATTTGAAAGTAGATTGAGACTATTCAAAAGGTATGTTGTAAAGGGTAACCTTAAAAAAACAAAAAATATACAATTGCTACTCTGAGAAGAGATGAAATAAAATTATACAAAATGGCCTATTAAAATTAGCCAAGGCAGAAAAATAAGGTGGAATACTCTAGAAATGAAATTAAGAAGTGCTCATGGGCTTGATTCTAATATATCTGGAGTTACCTGAACATTTTATCTTAGCTAGAAGTTTTGTTCAAAAATGTAACCCACTCATTCAATCTATCTTATATTCAGCAAATACAAACAAAATACCTAATATATAGAAAGCACTACATTCAGGAAAGGGGATGCAAGGTTATTGAGAGAGAAAGAATACATTTCCTCGTGGGGATTATATTTAGTGGGTATTTTAAAAAATACTTCTAATATCACTGAATTCTAAACATCACCCCATTTGCCAATAATTCTTTCTCCTAACCCCCCAGGCAAAGCATCGTATTTACTTTTATACATTTGTAAATTTTCTAGTTATTCTTTAGAGTTTCTTTTGTTAGAATAACAGTTCCCTTCTCAAGCCTTAAATGATTAGAGCCTTTCTCATAAAACAGAGGCTGTACCTTGGTTATATAACAAGGGTCTATAACAGAGTATTTAACATGGTAGATATTGAATAAAACTTTAATGAAAAATTAATAACTGAGAATATGATTAGTTTTTCCCATGAGTGGGAACTTCACATGGAAGATGATACTGCCTCTAATATTCTTCTCATTATGGGGCTCCCTTTATGTTCATTGTCTCATTAAACAACTATGAGTAAAGTTTCTTCTGCCTTTTCTCTCTCTACAGAAGACTCAATGACCCTGAGTGTCTCCGATGCCAGCCCCGCCTGACCGGAATAGGCGCAGCATCCTCAATCGGATCTGTTTGGTCTTAATGGTGTAAACCACTGGATTGAGCACCGGAGGTGTGAGAAAGTGAAGATAGGAGAGCAGTACACGGCTGCATGGGGAAGCCTGCCTCCCAAATCTGTGGATCATAGACAGGCCAATCATAGGTGTATAGAAAAGTAGCACAGCACAGATGTGAGAGACACAAGTGTTGAGGGCTTTGAGGCGCTCAGCCTTGGAGGCAATGGATAGCACTGTGTGGAAGATCAGCCCGTAGGAGAGGACAATGAGCACTGCGTCCATACCCAACGTGGAGAGCACTACAAAGAGGCCATAGGCACTATTGATGTGGGTGTCGGCACAGGCCAGCTTCATGACATCTGGGTGCAGGCAGTAGGAGTGAGAAAGCTGGTGATTGCGGCAGTAAGGCAGCTTCTTCAGCATAATGGGGGCCGGGATGTGGAGACTGACGCTGCGCACCATGATAGCCAGGCCCAGGCTGGCAATCCGGGGACTTGTGAGGATGGTGCCATAGCGCAGAGGGTTGCTGATGGCAACCACACGGTCAAAGGCCATGGTCAGCAGCACGGAGGACTCCATGATGGAGAAGGTGTGGATGAAGAAGAGCTGAGCCAGGCACACGTCCATCGCCACTTTCCTGAGACCCAGCATGTAGACAGTGAGCATGGTGGGCAGAGTGGAGGCAGACAAGCCCAGGTCAGTCACTGCTAGCATCGATAGAAAATAGTACATGGGCTGGTGCAGGGAGGGCTCTGACTTCACCACCCACAGGATCAGGCTGTTCCCTCCCAGAGATGCCACATACACAGCGCACAGAGGAATGCAGAGCCAGGCGTGCACAGCCTCAAGGCCTGGGAGGCCTGTTAAGAAGAAAGAGGCGCTCGTGTGGTTGAAGTCTGACATGATGACCTGGAAGGACAGAACTCCAGTCAGAAGTGCAATTATAGGCGCTAGAATCTGAGTTGTTGTGTCAGAACTTGTTCTATAAACCAAGATATTGGAAAGACTCCCAAAAATGTTTCTAACATAACCATGGCCTTGTGATTTGCCTAAGTATTTTCCCTAATTCATAGATAAGATGCCCTTAAAAAAAAAAGTGAGTTTGAATTATTAAGAGAAATCTTATGGTAAACCTGTCTCAGAAGTCGCACAATAAAATGTACCCCTAAGTCAGAGTTTGAAACATGGCTCTTAAAAGGGACTAAGACAGTATTGTTTCCATTCTACATTATACATTTTGAGAAATGAACTCCAGCTTCCAGGACAGTTAATATATCTGATCTGGAACCAGAAGCAAGGTTCCTCACTCCCTGTAAGTTTCTCCTTCACACCGCCTTTTTATATAGTTACTCCTACCATGTGGTGAATATGACAATTTTGCAGAAAGATATTTTTTCCATAATTAAAATAAATTTAAAAAGTCCCCGTAACTTGTTAGTCCACCTGTGTGAACACACAAATGCAACATTTCACACAGACAATTTAAAATGCCAAGCTATGGCAATAATAGACATTTATTCAAATACGATTCATTCTCTAATGAAGCTGTGCATGTAGAATATTAAATAGAATGATTCCTAACTAATAGATTATTAAACAGACAATTTAAAGCTTCTTGGTAACTATTCAACATTATACTGATGAGAATGTAAAAGCTAGAAAAAGACATTTATTTGTCAAAGAATTAGAATTTAGATTCACTTATAAAGTAATTTCTGGAGAAATAAAGTAATCTTGGATTAGATCTTGTTTTCCCAGTGTTCTTTCTCTTGAACTTTGGCCACTGTTTCACTTCCTGCCATCTCAATCATATCCCTATATTTAATTTATCTTGAGTTTCATTTTCTGAGAACACATGAAAGAGAACTCAGTTTAAAAGCTTTTTACCTTCCTTTCTAATTGTAAACAAAGGAAGATTTCCGGAGTTTTCAGAAATACAAAACATTAAAGAATAATACCCAAAAGGAAGACTTAATTTTGAGAAATCTCACTTAATCGTATATTTGGAGAGTTTTTTTTTTTCCAGATGACATTGATTTTCTCTTTATTTTACCACCTTTCTTCTCATATGTCTTGTGGAATACAATCCAGTATTCCTCCCTCTTTGAAAAGTAGGTCCACATAATAATGGATTCTGTCATTTTTTCATTCTACTGCTAAAAATGTGCAAATATAATTCATTACTTTTGTATTTCATGAAAATACTTTATAAAACCTTTTAACATATACCATTTTAAAGCATTTCAACCCTCAATTATTAAGAACTCAAGTATATAACTTTGCTAACATTTTATGGATCATGAAAGGAGTATTCAGGATTTAAAATAATTATGTCTGACTGTATTTTACTCTGGATATTGTTGTTTATAGCTGAAGACAAACGTCAGCTATCATTGAACAGAGTAAAGATAGAAACTTTATCCTTAAATCAAAGTAAATTAAAAACTCCCATGAATTTCTATATTTTAAAAATGTCCTACATGATGGCCACTTCTGATTTTCCTCTTGTATTCTACTTTATCATCTCCAGATTAGATGCCTGCATTTTCATTCAATAAATAAACTGTTCTAGATGCAAGAAATAGAACTATGAAAAAAATAATAATGTCCCCAAAATAAGAAAAGCATCAGTCGATATTATTTCAAATATGTAAAAAATGTGGAAAGAGAAGATGTGATTTTTTTTTTTTAAGATTGAAAGTTTAGATAATAGCTCTCTGAGAAGAGAACAATTGGAGAAAAAGCAAACAGCAAGAAGGAGCAAAACAGTTGTAGATATATGGGTGCATGGGTGAGTGAGTGATTGGTAGGGAATATATAGAGTTGCTTCAGGACACAAATTAACCAGGAGATAGGTATCTGTTATAGCTGGAATTGTGATAGAAATAAGAGTTAAGAAAACAAAAACAATTTCTAGATCCAACATAATTATTTAAGAAAACCGCATTGTACCTGACCTGGGGGCAGGAGTAATTCTCTTCTGTGCTGAATATATATCTAGTGGCTCTGAAAGTGTGGACCCTGGGCATCAGCAGCTCAAGAGAACTTGTAATAAATACAAATCATTAGGTCCCACTCCAAACCTACTGAATCAAGGTGTCTTGGATTGAAGTCCAGCATTTGGTTTTTTAGCAAACTGTTCAGGTGATTCAGATTCAAACTGAAGTCTGAGAATCACTGCACGCATAGGTAGGTATAGTATTGCCATGTAAAAAGATAAGTGCAATAATGCTGTTGAAGGTCCACTAAAGCAAGGAAGTGGAAGAGAAGCAAAGCTTGTGAATTAAGAGAAAAAGGACACCCTTAGACAAAGAAAAAAACCTTGCTCCTCAGTGCTAAGCTCTGAAATGGGACAAGCAACGATGCTGAGACACAAACACAGATTCTTTCACTGGGATATCCCTAATAATCTCACCACAAATCATTAAAGACCAAAAAGCATATGGCAATTACAATAAATAATGATACTCTGTTTTTCTTTATAATTTATTGTGCAAAGTAAAAAATTGTTAACAAGGTAACCTGAAAGTTAGCTAAATTTTGCTACTATAAAGAGTTGGACAAGTTGTATTACTCCTTTTATGTTTAAATTTATAAACTTCTATTCAGTTACTGACAGATGAAGCAAATGTGAAATAAGGTCAAGAAATGTTTGAGGACATTGACTGGGAAGAACTGTGCATTCAAATCAAATGTCTAAATGATCTGTATCTGAATTCTCCAGCTTACATTCACTCTGCATTGTCATAGTTTTATTTATTTATTTTTTATTTTTTTTAATTAGAGAAAAATCTTTAACATTTCTTTAACAAACTGAAAGTTCCCTCACTTTACCTATCAATTTTAAATGCAGATATATAAGCTCAATGAATGTCCATAGTGTAAGCAGTCAGACCTCCAGACTTTATTTCACTTATTGTTTGAGAAAATGAACCTATTAAAATGAAAGCACCGAGATGTTTATATATAGAGAGAATATTAGTTTTGTACATATTGCACTAAGCTGACTGCCTGGAAGAAGAGTTTCGTGAACTTGTGTGTGTGTGTGTGTGTGTGTGTGTGTGTGTGTGTGTGAGATGAATTTTCTCATTTTAATTTTTAAGAAATACTTATTGAGTAAAGGAATTTAATGTTAAGAAGCAAAAGAATATAGGAGAAAAGGCAAGGTACCTGTTATTGGTCTTGGTTTCAGCACAAAAACACTAAAAGAAAAATACTTAGACAAAACTTGAGCTTAAGCAAAAGCTATTACTCTAAAGTGTTAAGAATACATTATGAGCTTTTTTCTTATAGGAATTATGCCTTTTGGTTTGTCAGCAGAATTTCAACCAGATGTAAACCTGTGGCATCATGGAGCAAGCAAAATGGAAAACCATGTGGGATATTTATTGTATATTTTAAAATATTAATTTTCTTCTGCAACCACATTAAGATCTAGATCAACAGATTTGAGTCAATATTATGCCATGATAACAATAAGAAATAATAAGAGGATGGATTTCATGTTCAAAAGGATTATTCTTTTGAACTGTATACATACTCTCACATATACCATGCCGATTTCAGTTTTCATATCCACTAAAAAATGGGAATGGGTAAATTGTACTAATTCTCAGAGCATACTAATTTCATAGGTTTAATTGATAATAAAATAAGTAGATATAAGAGTTCCTACATCCTGTAAAGTACTTAGAAAGTAAATAATAATTGTTAACATTTGTTTCTTCTTTAATTTTTTCCTAAATTTACTTACCATTCTCGAAATGCAAGGAGGTTGTACAAAGATGAAAATATTTAGAAAGAATTACAGTTAATCTTGATCACTTGGTTTTATCAATTCACGTCATCATTCTTTCACTTTTCATCTTGCAAGAAACAGACTGTCTTTTCAAACTATCTTCACAAACGAACAACTCCCCATACCATCTTATTCCTCAAACTTTTCCTCATCTCAGCTTGTCTCCCTTCGAGGGGCATAGAATCCATCTACTTGGAGCTTCAGGTACACCTATATCAGACTGTATATAAGGCAAGGAGGACTTCTGCTGATGAGTTATTAGCCCATCTCCCAATTGCCCATTTAATTGGTTTTATCTGTTATGACAGCACATTTGAGGAATTCTTCAGCAAACTCATCTAATAGCTCCCAGATGGTTCTGAAATGAAAAGCCTCTTTTCTTTCTCTAAATCTTTAATACACAGTCTTTTTTCAGAATCTTAATTCAAAACATATTATTAACACTGTTTTTAAATGAGCACTAATTAGAATTTTGGCAAATGGCTATACTCCTTTTGTCTCCAGACCTCATGTTATTGGCTCACCCACAAGGAAACAAGAGCTGAAAACATTTCTCACCTTCCTCCAGGGTACTACTGAAGGGAGTCCACGATGAAGAGCAATTTTACAGCAAATCAGCCAATTCCTGGACATTATCTCTTGATGAACACAACAGGCGCCATAGGCTTTGGGGCAGCAACTACCTTTAACCATGTCACTGCCAGACAAGTTTTGCAATGGGCTATAAAGAGACTTCGCTGTAACTGGAAATCTTTAAGCTCTGTCCAATTCTGTCTCAGTTACTGAATCTCCTTACATTGTGATTAAAAAGTAATTGACTGTTTGAGAATACAAGCTTCAACGTGAGAAAGACGAGTTAAAGATGTTCGCCGCTGGTCATCATAAGTTGCACAAGTTCTTTGAACCTCATTGTTGATGTCGGTAAAATACAATGTTATGACCATTGAGAGGTAATGGATTTACCATTAACAAAAAATGGCACTGGGGTTTAACTGTGTGGGTTTGAATCTCTACTCCGTAACTTAATATCTTTGAAATTTTAGGCATGTTATTTGACCTTTCACTGACTTCAATTTCCTCGTTAGTGAAATTGGAACAGTAAAAG